CCTCCTCCTCCTCTTCCTCCCACCTCTTCCCTCCTCTTCCTCCCTCCTTCCTCTTCCCCAGCCTCTCTCCTCCCTTCCTCCCCTCGCTTCTCTCCACTTCCCTCCGTCCTGCCTTCCCTCCCTCCCATCCTCTCCTCCGCCGTCCTGCCCGGCGCGGCGCAGGGCAGCGCGCCAGCGGGGCCACAGATGCAGCAGCTGACGCTCGTCGACGGGCACGCCTGCCTTCACCAGGCGCGGCCAGCGGGGGGGGTGCGCGGCCGGGCGGTGCCACGCCGTTAGGGGAGGGGAGGGTGGAGGGTGGAGGGGGAGGCGATTTTCCCGCCCATCTGCCCTCAGTCCGGCCCCCACCTCCCTGGAAAGCGGGCCAACCTTTCGATAGCAGTGCAAACAAGGATCCAAGAGGCGGAGGAGGAGGAGGAGGAGGAGGAGGAGGAGGAGCAGGAGGAGGAGGAGGAGGAGGAGGTAGGAGGAGGCGAGAGGGGGAGGAGGGGAGGGGGAGGGGGAGGGGGGGGGAGGGGTGGGGAGGGGAGGGAGGAGGAGGAGGAGGGAGGAGGAGGAGGAAGGAGGAGGAGGAGGAGGAGAGGAGGAGGAGGAGGAGGAGGAGGAGGACCAGTGCAAACCCAAGAGTCATCAACGATGTTGGAATTAATTCTCCCGCGAAGCTCCCTTTTCACAGGCGCCTGCCACGGTTTATTTCCATTGAAGGAATTGCCTCGTTGGAAGACAACCGTATGAAGATCCTGACGCGTGCCGAAACATTGTTTTCTGGATTTCAACGCCACGTCTCAACCTGAATGCTGCGTCTTGACGGTCCGGAATCGTGCCAGGACGCGGTTTTTTGGATTTCAAACACAGCAAATAACTGTTGCGCCCGCACAATCCTGAATCTTTCCGAAACACCATTTCTGGTACGTTGATAAGGGATTCCGTGAAACTCTTGCAAATGTTTACAACGAATGTGCGCGGCGAGAGGCGAGAGCCACAGTTTGAAAACGACCCGCCCTCAATCCGTGAAACTCTTGCAAATGTTTACAACGAATGTGCGCGGCGCTAAGGCGAGAGCCACAGTTTGAAAACGACCCGCCCTCAATCCGTGAAACTCTTGCAAATGTTTACAAAGAATGTGCGCGCAACTGCTGCTGATGATGACGATGACGGTGATGATGCTATGCTCATGATGGTACAAAGAGGCTGTTCATGATGTCGGTTACGGCGGTAATCGTGATGATGATGTTGATATTGATGATGTTGATGATGATGGTGATGATGATGTTGATGATGATGCTCTTGATTATGACGATGATGATGAGGATTTCGAGTATGATGATGGTGTTGAGGATGATGATGCCGCGTATGCCGATCTTGATTTAGCTACGTATGACGATTATCACCATGATGTTGCTGCTGATGATGTTGACGATGACGATGACGACGACACCGACGACGACGATGCTGATGATGATGATAATGAGGACGTTGACGATGACGATGATGATGATGGTGATGGTGGTGGTGATGATGACGACGACGATGATTAAGATGATGATGACGACGACGATGATGATGATGACGATGGCGATGATGATGATGATGATGATGATGATGATGATGATGATGATGATGATGATGATGATGATGATGATGATGATGATGATGATGATGCTGATGCTGATGATGCTGATGCTGATGCTGATGCTGATGCTGATGCTGATGCTGATACTGATGCTGATGATGATGATGATGATGATGATGATGATGATGATGATGATGATGAGACTGATTCTCTAGTGGCCTTCGGCCCATCCCGCCACCGTGCCTCGTTGTGGGTATGAGACCTATTGGATGTTTGTTGGGATCTCGTCGGAAGCCCCCCGGGGGCCTCTCGACCTCTTGGAAGACACTGTTGAGGCCTCTCGGGGGCTTTGGCGGCCTTTTGGCGCCTCTTTTGGGCCTCTTGGGGGCCTCTTGAGACCCCTTGGGGGCGAGACCTCGTGGATATTCGTTGGGACATCGTGGGGAGCCTGTCGGGGGACTCTTGGAGGCAGGTGCGACGCAAGCAATGTCGACGCGCTTGCTCTGAGGCCATTCCGACGCGGAGCACCCCCGAAACCGTCGGTTCGGCGCGCATGGTTTGAGATCACTTAGCGGAGCGGTGCTCCGCTAGTCCGACGCTGGGCACTTCGCGAATCGCACGTTTTGAGGCGGATTAGCGGAGCCGATTCGGAGCACTCCAGGAGCCGGCGCGCATGTTTCGAGGCCACCTAGCGGAGCGGCGCTCCGTTAATCCAACGAGGGGCATTCCGCGAAGCGCATGTTCTGGGTCCAAGTAGCGGAGCGGCGCTTCGCTAATCCGACGCGATGCATTCCGAGAATTTGCGCGCGTGTTTTGAGGCCAATTAGCGGAGCGGCGCTCCGCCAGTCCGACGAGGAGCATTCTGGGAGTCGGCGCGCATGTTTTGCGGCGGATTAGCGGGGCGGCGCTCCGCTAATCCGACGCGGTGCAATGCGGAAATTGGGGTTGGTTTTTTTTACAGACTTCTCAGAAGTGAGGACTGAGGCGCAGGGATTAAGAGAGTGGGCTGAGAACACCCCACTTCGTGCCACAAAGGCACGGTGGCAGATGAGGATGAGGATGAGGATGGTAGTGATGATGATGAGGAGGAGGAGGAGGGTGAGGGTGATGATGATGATGATGATGATGATGATGATGATTATGATGATGATGACGATTATGATGTTGATGATGATGATGGTGATGGTGATGAGCATGCTGATGATGCTGATGCTGTTGCTGATGATTATGGTGGTGATGGTGATGGTGATGGTGACGGTGATGCTGATGCTGATGCTGATGCTGATGATGATGATGATGATGATGATGATCATGGTGATGATGATGATGATGATGATGATGATGATGATGATGATGATGATGCTAATCATCATGGTGTTGATGGTGTTGTTGATGCTGCTGATCATTATGATGACGATGGTGGTGGTGATGATGGTGATGATGATGGTGTTGCTGATGATAGTAATGATGCTGATCATGATGGTGGTGATGATGGTGAATGATGGTGATGCTGATCAGGATGCTGACGATCAGGATGGTTTTGATGATGATGATGATGCAACGATGGTGATTGTTATTATGATGATGATGGTGATGGTGATGGTGGTGATGGTGATGGTGATTGTGATGGGGATGGTGATTATGATGATGAGGATGAGGATGATGATGATGACGATGACGACGACGACGACGATGATGATGATGATGATGATGATGATGATGATGATGATGATGATGATGATGATGATGATTATGATGATGATGATGATGTTGGTGCTGCTGTTCTTGATAGTGATGATGATATTGTGGTTGATGATGGAGATGTTGGTGAGGGTGATGATGCTGTTGATGACGACGATGATGATAGGGTTGGGGTGGTGATTGTCATGGTGGTGATGGTGATGATGACGACGGCGGCGGCGATGATGATGAGGGTGAGATCGAGGGTGATGATTTGCAAGTATGGAAGAAGAGGCAAGAGGGGAGGAGGGATGATTGGGAGGAGGAGCAGCAGAGAGGAGGGACGGAGGTGGGCAAAACAAACAGGGCGGAGGGAGGAGGACGGAGGAGAAGATCGAGGAGGGAGAGAGGAGGAAGAGGAGGGAGGAGCGGGAGGAGTAGCACAAGGAGCAGGAGTATGAGCAGGAGGCAAGAAGACAGCTCGAGCGAGCCGACATGCCCCGCCCACTTCTGCCCTTCCGCCGCGCTGTCTTGCTTTCTACAAGCTCTCCTATGCCAGGAAAGCGCTGCCCTGCTCCTCTTCCTCCTCGTCATCCTCCTGATCTTCCTCCTCCTCCTCCTCCTCCTCCGCCTTCGTCTTCATCTCGTGCCGCCCTGCCTCCCCGCTGCTTCCCTGCCGGTCCTCGTCTGCCCCCGTCCCCCCCCGCCTCCCTACGCCACGCGGCGCGAGTACGGCATGCCGCTCTCTCGCGCGCGGCCCTTGCTTCTGCGCGCCGCGACCAGTGGGGGAGCGCACAGTTGTCAGCGCAACTAGGCTGGGCGCCGAGGCATGGCCGCATTTCGTGCTGCTGGGCGCGGCCCCGCTTCGGACCGTGGCGAGCGAGAACCATGTGGCGCGCCCAAAATGGGAGCGCAACATTCATGCAGAGTCTGCGCGGCGTTGGGCATAGAGCGATCTTGCTCCCTTCAGCGCGCGACGTGCGCCACGTGTGCACCATTTCCTGCGCGCGTGGAGCGAACGTCTATGGTGAAAGGGAACACGTTGTTGTATTTTGGCTGCTGTGTCAGCAACTCAGGGTTGAGCGTCCCGCGTGCAACCTCCATTGCGGCGAAAGCGATGGGAGAGCTGTTTCGGATAGGGAATACTGGTGATGGTGATCAGGACGAATACGATACACGACAACGACGATGACGACGCGAGGTGGACAAGGGCACAGAGGAACTGGAGGACAAGGAGGATGGGGATGCTATTGAATCCGCAGGGGAGAAGGACGAGGAGGAAGGAGAGTGGAAGCGAGGGAGAGAACGAGGAGGAGGAGGACGACGACGACGGTGATCTCTGCATTTGTTCGTTTATCAATTGGAGGGCTTAAGTGACGACTACGACAACGTCGAGGAGGAGGAGGAGGAGGAGGAGGAGGAGGAGGAGGAGGAGGAGGAGGAGGAGGAGGAGGGGGGCCAACGGGGATGTGGAGGAGGGCGACAGGAGGGGGTGGAGGAGGAGGAGGAGGAGGAGGAGGAAGAGGAGGAGGAGAGGAGGAGGAGGAGGAGGAGGAGGAGGAGGAGGAGGAGGAGGGGGCGGAGGAGGAGGAGACGGAGGGGGATGAGGAAGTGGAGGAGGAGGAGAGGAGGAGGAGGAGGAGGAGGAGGAGGAGGGGAGGAGGAGGAGGAGGAGGAGGAGGATGGGGGTGAGGAGGGGAGGGAACTCTGGGGTGGGGGTCTATGAATTGGGCTTTTCTCAAACCCTAGGTGCAGCTCAGCCCGATCCGTACTTCGTGGTGCATACCACTGCGTGGATCCTTTCGCCCGGTCCGTACTCTGCCGTCGGAAGATGGCGGCGGCGCTGCGCGGCCTGGCCCGGCGGTGCGCCACGTCTGGGCGCGGGTACGCCACGCTCGTGGTCGCGGAGCACGACAACAAGGTCGCCTCCCTCCTCCTCCTCCTCCTCCTCCTCCTCCTCCTCTTCCTCCTCCTCCCTCCTTTTCCTTTCCGTAGCCATTTTGGCTCAAGGGATCCGCGGGTCAAAATTTTGGTTTCTATCTTTTCACTTCCATCATTCCAGTCAGACTGATGTCCCATGGCCCTTAGAAGGGCGGCGGCGGCGGCGGCGGAGGAGGCTCTCCCCCTTGGCGCGGCGGCGGCTCAAAGGGCTGGCAGCGGCAGGACTGGAACAACTACGACTACGGAGGCGCCCAGTGGCTGGCTGGCAAAGGATACGGCGCGTCTGGCAGGAGCGACTGCTGGAAATGCGTTGCATGCGGGTGCGGCAAGACCACTGTCTGGGCGTCGCACTGCAAGCACTGCGGTGCGCCGAGGCAAGCCCCTTCGACCAGCCAGCCTGCTCCTCCTCGCGGCGTTTGGTCTCATCAGCAGGGTCTTCCTCGTGCTCCTGGGTATCACCCCCCAGGAGAGTGGGCTGCCCTCCCGCCTGGACCTCAGCTTGGAGGAGCGGCGCAGGGGACGGGCAGCAGTGGCCGTGGACAGGACGCCCCGCTGGACGCAAAGGAGCTCCAGATGCTGGTCGCCCTGGCGCGCCGCGCAGGTGACCAGACGACCGCGGCCAGGTACCAAGGCCAGCTGGACTCCATGGCGGCAGCCGCGAAGCCCCCGCCCAAGGCCCTGCAGGACCAAGTCAGCGACCTGCACCACCGCATCAAGAAGCTCGACGGCAGGCTGGAGTCCGAGCTGGCGAAACTTGCGAGGTGGCAGGACGGCATCAGGGCGCAAGAGGTGTTCATTCACGACCTTTCGAAGCAGTCCGAGGCCATGGTCACATAACATCGGCAACTGGTTGCACAGCTTCACAGTGCAGTTGTTCCTTCCTCGGCCGACGCAGAGGTCGCGTCTGGGCCCACTTTGTCACTCCGCGACCTCGTGGACGGGAGGGTCTCCAACATCGTCATCGACGACGGGGGCCTCTTCTCGGTCGACGCTGACGGCATGGAGGCTTCGGATCTTCAAGAGGTGGAGCGACGTCGGGCCGACTTCAAGGAGCACATCGGCAAGGCAGCCAAGGCCCTATTCGCCGAAGCAATGGAGCGTGCGGCAGTCGCCAAGGCCGAGCACGACGGTTACCTCAAGCGCATGGCCACAAAGCGCAGGAAGGGCTGCGACGGAGCCGTGTCGGCTGGGGGCGGAGTTCGTGAAGGAGGCGTTGAAGAAGCTGGGTCGCATCCTGGCGGTGCCTCTGGCAGCGGCGACGCCGCGGCCAGCGACGTCAGCCAGCCAGCCGCCTCAGTCAGCCGAGTTCGAGAACATGCAGCACGAGTTGCGGAGCGTGTTCAGCAGCAGCAGGCGACTTCTGAGGGCAGCGGCTCAAGCGAGCGGCCCAGTGAGCAGCAAAATCTTAGCCCCCCTGACGGTCAGCAGGCCTGAAGGGGGGGGATTCTACTTTTCTATGCCTGCAACACCTGACAGGTGTTCTAGTTCAGTGTTTTCGGAGGGAGGTCGACGGCGCGTGCAGGCTCTCAGGACCCCTCCTCCTCGTGCCCAACTTATTCTTGTTTTGCTTCGAAATACTAGTCCCAACGCGCGAGCTAGGGATGCTGCCTCCTCGGAGCCAGGGCATTCTGGCACCGTTTTGGGAGGCCCCTTTTTGCCCCCGCCCCCCCCCCAGGCCACCAGTCGTTCCGTCTGGGGGTCGTGTCGGTCAACGGTAACGCCTGGGGGTCGGTGAAGGAGTGGCTCCCTAGTATCGATGCTGAAGTTATTCTAGTCCAAGAGCACAAGCTTTTGACGCAGGAGACTTTGGATAGAGCTTCCTCTGTTTGTCTTGGCCTCGGTTTCAAATCGCTTTGGATCCCTGGCACGACTGGGCCCGAAGGCGGCCCTTCTGCGGGAGTCTCGATCCTGTGTCGCGCCAACCTTGGGCTTCATAGGGCGCCCTCGGGGCTCGAGCTGGCCCCCCACAGGGCCACCACGGCCCTAGTGCATGCGCCCCAAGGGGACGTGTTTCAAGTTTGTTCTGTGCACATGCGTGACTCGGAAGGGCTTTCGGGGTCTAACCTCGAGATACTGTCGGCGATAGGGGCGGAAGGGTCCACCTGCGGGAAACCATTTCCTGTCGGGGGAGACTGGAACGTGGAGCCATCCGAACTCGCCAAGTCCTTTTTTTTCGTGAGCACCCTGGTTGGTCAAGTCATCGACCCCAGCAAGCCTACCTGTCACGCTGGAGCGGGCAAAGTCTACGACTACTTCGTTGTGTCTTCTGGGCTTTCCAAGGGAGCCGCTGAAGTCCGTATTATCGAGGACGCTGGTTTCTTTCCGCGCAGCCCAGTCTGTCTCGAGTTCCACGCTGGACTAGCTCAGATGCATTACCTCACGTTCAGGCGCCCGCCACCTCTCCCATCGGAAGTACCATTCGGACCGCAGCCCGAGCCGATGGACTTTAAGCGCGTGCACGCCCAGCTGGATGCAGCGTTCATTCGAGCCAAGAGAGGGGACGATGGGGTTATGACTGCTCGCCTATTTCGTGAAGCTTACGCGTCTTGGACGGGCCTTGCTGAACAGGAATTTTCCAGGACTTTCGGGGTTCAACTTCCTGTTTTGGGGTCTAGGGGCATGGGGCCCAAGACCCATCGGGGGCCGATCCTTAGTAAAGATCATGGGTGTGTGCGGTACCCCCAGCTCCACGCCTGCCGCTGGCTCGCCTCGAAGTTCAAACGTCTTTTTATGTGCGTGCAGAGGGGGGGCTGGCATCAGGCTCGGGATGTGGGGTGCGTTCTTTCGTCTCCCCCCCCCCAAGCCTGTGTAAGCCCGACAACTTGCTCCCTGGGATCGAAGCTATTTACGATCGTGTTTCCTCGGTGATTTTGGACCTCAAGGTTTTGGAGGACCCTCGTGAAGGGTCGGGCTCTGATCCTAGCTTCTTGGGGGCTCTGGAGGTTTTGACAGCCCAAGTCGAAGAGGTCTCTACCCAGGTTACCGACTTTGTATCACAATGTAGCGCCTTCTACGCCACCAAGGCCAGACGCGACTGGGCGGACTGGCTCGCCGAGAATGTCGATCAGGGTGGACGTAGGGCGCACGGCTACACGAACGATCCTCAAGGATGGTCTCCATCCACTACACTTAGTGCTGGGGGCTGCGTGGTGTCGGACCCGCAGGCGCCCCTGGCCGCCGAAGCTCATCGTTTTCGCCATTTGTGGGAAGGGCTCCCTGTGCCTCAGAAAAGGCCAGGGGAAGTTAATGCTCCCCCCCCCCCCCTATTACGGTGGACATTATTCGCGAGGTTTCTCACACTTTTGCCCATAGGTCTGCCACGGGCCTGGATGGGTTTCATTTGAGACACTTTTCGGTGCTGTCCGACGGGGCTTTGTGGGCCCTCTCGCGGTTCTGTACGTTGATGGAACTCACGGGCACCCTTCCCCCGCAGCTGGAGGCCGTGATCATTGCCATGCTGCCGAAGCCCTCCACTGGTTTTCGCCCCATCGGGGTTTTCCCCAGCCTGTGCAGATTATGGGGGAAATGCAGGAGAGATTATGCGGTTGAGTGGTAAGGGAAACACCAGAGAGAGCACTGGGCGGCGGGAAAATTCAAGTCCGCTTGTGATGTTGTTTGGGGGCGAAGTGCCCGTTCTGAGGCTTCGCGTGCCTGCGGGCAGGAGGCCTGTGCTCTCCTCTGGGGTTTTGTTAAATATTACGAGCGCATCCCTCTTGATCTTCTGGCTCTTCGATGCAGGCAAAACGGCCTCCCTGATGCACTCGCCGATGTGTGCATGGCGGGATGCCGTTCTGCCCGCTTCCTGGTGCTAGCTGGAGTGGTTGCGCCTCCTACTTACGCGAGAGTTGGAATCGTAGCTGGCTGCAGTTTTGCTACCACTATGATCAGGATGTTTGCCGTGCGTGGATTCGACCAACTGGAGGTTCCCAAGGGGGTCACGTTCGACGCTTACATCGATGACCTCGGGATCAATGCGATTGGGACCACCAGACACATTATGATAGAACTCCCGAAAGCGGCTAAGACCCTTGAGGAGATCATTGAGAAGGTTCTTTTTGCGAAGGTCTCCCCCGACAAGGTCGGGTTGGTCGCGTCCTCCAAGGAAATCGCCAGGCGCGTCCAGAAACGACTTGGGGGGCTTGGAGGAGTTTTTACTGAGTCTTTCGTCAATTTGGGGGTAGATGACACTGCGGGCTGCGCCAGGCGAGTCCGTGGGCGCAACAGCAGAGCGAAGACGCGCTTTGCGAGAGCCTCTAGGCGTGCTGGCAGGCTGGCTCGTCAAAGAGGAGTTCTAGGACCGAGGGCTACCAAGCTCTGCACTGCGGGACCTCTTGCGGGAGTTAATTACGGGGCGGAGGTTTTCGGGATCAGTGACGGAGAACTCGCTAAAGTCAGACGCATGTGTGCCTCTACGATGAAGCCTGCCTGCGGCGGCCGAAGTTTAACCATTCTTAGCAGGATTGAAGGAGATCCTGCTTGGTGGGGTGCTGTGGCGCCAGCCATCAGGTGGGCCAAGGAAGTCTGGGCTCGTGCCACGAGGGTCTCGGAAGTTTGTTTTTTCTTGGGCCGAGCTCCGAACCATGTGGCACGATATTTTCGGGCGTTCTTGGACCTGGAGGACCGTGGGCGGGCCCATCGGGGCCATGAAATTGTCCTTGGCCCGCTTGGGATGGAGCATGCCCTCGCCCTTTGTTATGATTAGCGACTTGGGGGTTGAGCACTCTCTCACGCTCGCGCCTCCTTCCCTTCTTCAGGTTTTTCTCAAAGAGGGGGTTTGGCGTTCTTTGGAGAGGGAAGCGGCCGCCAAGTACGGCCCCGAAGGGGCCGAGTCTTTATGTTTCGACGTCGTCATCAAAGCGCTTCGATCAAAAAAGTTTACTGCTCGCCAGAAAGGAACCATACGTTGTTGTGCCTGTCAAGGAATCTGGCCCTACGCCCGCGCTCGAGCAGCAGGTTATGAAGTCGAGGACCGTTGCCCGCTATGCCATCAGCCTGGCGACACGATCTTTCACCGACTGTACGCGTGTTCGGCGGTGGAGGAGGAGAGGAGTGCAGTGATTCCCCGCAGTGCGCTGGATCAGGTTTTGAGGCAGTTCGAAGCGGTCCCTGAGAGAGAACGGTTCCACCTTACCTCTGGCTTGTTTGGCCACCCCCAGAGTGTGCTCCCGCCCCCAAAGTCCGACAGTAGAACCGAGGAGGACGACGGTATCCAGTTTCAGTTTTTTCCTGAAGGTTTTGCTGCGGAAGGCATGGAGATGCCCCGCGACGGCCGCAGACAGATGTGGGGCCACGTTTTCTTAGACGGCTCGTGTTCGCGACGGGTGGTCCGCAGCTCGAATCGTGCTGGTTGGGGTTTAGCGATGATGGGCCCTCAGTCGAATCTCTTAGCCTGGAGCTGGGGCCCCGTGTGGGACAGCTGCCCTCAGACTTCTCAGGCAGGAGAATTTTCGGCATATGCCATGGCATGTGCGTTCCTGTCTGCACCAGCAACTTTATACTCTGATTGCCAAACTGTAGTTTCCATGCACTGCATGGCCCATCATCAGCAGATTTCACCCAAGCGTCCTTATTCGGGGCTTGCGACTCAGGGTCGCTCTCTCGGGAAAAAATGGACGCTTGGGTGTGAGAAAGTGCCTGCACACCTTCTCATTGACGATCCCGAGATCGACGATCATGAGCGGTTTCGAAGGATTGGGAATGATTTCGCCGACAAGGCCGCCAGGTTGGGAGCTGATGCCCACCAGGCGCCGTCGGAGGATGTAGCTAACGAATGCACCGCTCTTGTGAATTCGGCTCTTCTGGCGGTCAGACTGTGCGTTTCTCTTTTGCCACTGTGGCCGCGCACGGACCTTTCGCGTGCCTCGTGGTCTTCCCCCGCTCAGGCCCCCCGCTCCTCTACCTCGCCTCATCGGTGGGAGTGGCTCGGGCCTCCTGGGGGAGACCAACGTTTTTGGATTTGTCAAGGGTGCCTCAGGACGTCGCGCAATGCCGCCGAAAAAGAGCCTGCCCCAGGACACTGTTCATATTCTATGAGAGTTGATGTTCGGCGGCTTAGAGATTTAAACCACAAGTGTATCCTCATGGATTGTTCGAACGGTTCGTTTGTTGTCGTTTGTACTGTGTGCCAGAGATACACTAGTGGAGCCCGCCTTGCATCGCTCAACAAGACGTGTCCAGGTCAGAAAGTTTCAGCTTACAACTCTGACGCTTGGAATAAGATTTGTAAGGGACTCCATCCCAAAGCGAAAGGGGTCACCTTACTCTCTGACACGTACAGTGTGCTTTAAGCATGCAGCGAGAGCCAGAGTGCTCAAAACAAATCCCTCCTTTTCCTCCCTCCTCCCCCTCCTCCGTTCTCCTCTCTTCTCTTTCTCCACCTCCTCTTCCCTTCACCGTTGAAGGGGCCTATGAAGAGGGAGCTTGGAGGGAGGAGTAATTCCAACATGGTGGATGACTCTTGGGTTTACACTGGTCCTCCTTCTCCTCCTCCTACTCTTCCTCCTCCTCCCCATCCTCCTCCTCCTCCTGCTCCTTCTCCTCCTCCTCCCTCCGCCTCCTCCTCCTCCTCCTCCTCCTCCTCCTCCTCCTCCTCCTCCTCCTCCCCTCCTCTCTTCCTCCTTCTTCACCTCAACCTCCCTCGTCGTCAGTCTCCCAGCCCGCTCTCCGCCTGAAAGCCTGAAAGCTTGATGGTCTGAAGGTCCCACGGACGTGATCATCCCCCCCCCAGGTCCGGTCGGCCCTGGGAGGAATCAAAGCGAAAGGTCCTCCTCCCGCCTGCAGACACAGTCCTCAAGCATAATAAGAAAGTGGCTCCGCCCCCTGAGCGTCGTCTGCGCTCGACAAGGTATGCCAGGCCACAGGCTTACTTCGCACCAGGGGGAGGTGCCAACCTCCTCTTCGAAACCTCATCCATCCTCATCAATGATCATCCAATACTGTGACCCCCCATCTATTCCTGGCCAGGCGTAGTCGTGAGACGAACGGACTGTGCTATCTGCTGCGAGACTAGCCTTACTCGTCCTGTATTCGTCCTGGAGTTTGGTCGCTCCAGCTGACGGTGCAGGAGGGGGAGGGGAGGACGAAGGGTGGATGCCGTAGGTGGTCAGTGGCGGTAGGCTGGCGGCGGCGACATTCGTGACCTTGAGGCCCGTTTAGGCCCGGGCTGGGCTGATGGCGGCTGTGCGCGGCCGGGGCCCGCCATGGGGCCAGGGGCCCCAGGGTTTTGCGGTTCACCCCGAACCTCCGCGACTTCCGAGCAGCGGTTGCACGAGGGCCGAGGGAAGCCGGCCGTCGTGGGGGCCGCCGCGTGGCCGTCGTGCGGTGGCCGTCGTGGTGGTGGGTCGTGGGGGCTTTCGGGTTGGTCGGGGGGATCGTGGGCGTCGGGGGGGGGGGGCTCTCCACGGGGTGGCTGGGGCTGTCACCATGGCCGCTTCCCCGGGTGTGCCCCCCGCGGGCTCCCTCCCGGGGCATGTGGCCGCTCGGGGGGTGGCCGGAGGGGCATGGAGTCCGTCGTGGGGGCCGTGGGGCATGGAGTCGCGAGGGTGGGCGCAGCAGTGGCGCGCGCCGGGATGGAGGGCGGCAGGCGGAGAGCACCATCATCGCGGCAGCCAGCGTCGGCGTCGGCGGCCCAGTAGCCGGGTGGCACGGTGGCACGGCCAGGAGGCGGCCGCCCCTTTGCTCGTGGGGGAGGTCGGCCTGTCCGCCTGGGCGAGCACTGCGCACTGCACGGCTGCGGCGCTGCAGGTGCTTGAGCGCCGCCTCCGAGGCGAGCTGGCGCCTGCTTCGGGAGCGAAAGAAGGCCATACACGTACATGAGTCCACGCTGGTTTCGAGAGCACGCATCGCCCGAATGTTCGTATTGCGCGGCCAGTCTCGCGGATCGAGGGGCCGTGTTCATGTACATACGGTAGATCACCACCCACCAAACCACCCCAACCCAACCCGAAGGCTCAGATTTACCCTCGATTTCCAGTGGGGGGGGTCGGGAAACATCGAAAAAACACACGTGGAACCCTTACCCCCCCCAACCCGAAATTCGGGCCTTCGGGTTGGGTTGGGGTGGTCTGGTAGGCAGTCAGTAGAGGGAAACAATTATTGAACACTCCCCCTCCCCCCCAAACTCAATGTTGGCACGCGCGGGGGGGACTGCGGTCGAAGTGCATCTCATCAGACCCACCGCCAACTTTGAACATGGGGGGGAGGGGGGAGGCGTTGACTGATGAGTTTGGTATGAGTGTTCGCTGATCTGTTCTGAGGCCTGTAGCTGGGCGCGTACGTCCTCTGTGGGCTCCCTGACTGCTGTGGGCCCCAGGCTGGCGATCCTTCCTTGGGATCGGATGCCCGAGGGCCGCCGCGCGTTCGGTCGGGCAGCCCTCCCTTGGTGCCGCGGCTCGGTCGAGCGCGGGCGCCACGCTCGGGTCGGCGGGCGCCGCGCCTGGCTTCAAGTCGGGCCTGTCCCCCCCTACAGGGGCGACTTTCGACGAAAAATAAAACATACCCCAAACATAATCAAAAAATATACCAAAATTATTCGTTTTTTTTTTTTTTTTTTTTTTTGGGGGGGGGGGTTCATTTTTCGTCGAAAATCCCTCTGTAGGGGGACACGCCCGACATATAAGCCTGGCCTGTCGCCCGCTGCGAGAACCTCCCGCTCGAGGGCCCGGCGGGGGGTCACCGTCCCCGAGTCGGGCAACGGCTCTGTCCATCTCCTGCCCCTCCCTGTTGGGCCCCCAGGGTGTGCCTACAGACTTTGGCGCGCGAGCCCTGCAGGGCCCCAGGGTGCGCCTACAGACTTTGGCGCGTGGACCCTGTAGGGCTCCAGGGTGTGCCTACATACCCTGGCGCGCGAAATCACCGGTTCGTCCAACATCACGGGCAGCGACGACCTGGGCTCGCAATGACCATGTCACGCGCATTTTATATAGTGACGGGCTTCCCTCGGAGGTTGCAGCCCAAGCGACAAGGGATGATCAGGCACTCGCATGTCGCGAACTATGCTCGCGAATGCGACATAGCAAAGCGTGCAAGTGAGCGGGTTGCTTTCGCGAACTCTGTTCGTGGAGCAGCAGAATGGGGAAAGTTGAGCACGCACGTGAGAGAAGCTTGCTCCATCTAGGTGTCTGCTGCCCACAATTGTATATAATGCTTCGTTGGCTGGCACAGGTTCGCATGCGCTGACCGACGAGGCACAACATATTTGCTTGAGCACAAGACTCGAATGGTATAGTTACTCGTGTCTTGCTTGCCTCTGCCTGTTTCTTGCCCGCCGCCGTGGTGGCTCAAGGTAGCTACGGCCGTGCCCGTGTTATTCGGGTTTCACGTCCATTCACATTCCGTTGGACACTTTGTTCGCAAGCAAACACCTCCATTTTCACCCATTCCCTCATTATTTAGTCTCCTGCTCCTCCTCCTCCTCCTCCTCCTCCTCCTCCTCCTCCTCCTCCTCTTCCTCCCCCTCACTCCTCCTCCTCCTCCTCCTCCTCCTCCTCCTGCTGCCTCCTCCTCCTCCTCCTCCTCCTCCTCCTCCTCCCTCCTTCCTCCTCTTTCCTCCATCCTCCTTCCTCCGCCTCCCCCCTCCTTTTCCTCAACGGCAGCAAGGTCCTCAACAAGGCCACCCTTCACGCGCTGGCCGCGGCCAGCCAGCTGCCGGGGTCCACGAGCTTGGATTTGCTGGCGCTGTGGTGGGTGAAAGCCCAGGGGCGGCCTTGGTTGGGAGGGGGGCTCCAAGGACGAGGAACATTGGTGACAGAATGGTGGTGACGATGCTGAGGAGGAGAAGAAGGAGGAGGAGGAGGAGGAGGAGGAGGAGCAAGAGGAGCATGAGGAGCAGGAGGAGCAGGAGGAGCAGGAGGAGCAGGAGGAGCAGGAGGAGAAGGAGGGAGCGTGCCGCCCTTGCAGCCTATCGCCGCCCGAGGTGCTCGGCAAGGGCTGTGGCAAGGTGGCGGAGGAGGGCGCCGCTGTTGCCGGCGTGGCCAAGGCTCGGGGACCCGCGGGTTTTGCGCAATGGGAGGCGATAAGTTGGGGGTGGAGGGACCCTGAAGGAGCCCTCACGGGGCGCCAAAAAGGGCCCTAAAGGGGAAGAACGTGCACTTTTCGTGCCCTAGAGGGGTCCCAAAGGACACCAGGGCGTTGCGCAATGGGGGGCGGTAAATGGGGGGGGGGGTGTAGCTGCCCTGATAGGCCCGTGTTGAAACACAACACGCGCCGTATTCAAAAGGTCATTTCGGGGGAGCGTAAGACCCGGGTTTGCCGGGACTCGGGTTCGCCATCGTTTTTTGACGACCGCGCCTCGGATTTTGACGAGGAGGAGTTTCGTGGGATGTCTGCAGCGGGAGACCTCGTCAAAATGAAGGTTCGGCCTCGTCATTTTTTTGCCGGCCTCGTCGGGGGTTTCCGAGTCCCCTGTACCCAGGTCTTACGTCCCCCTGATCATTGTTAACGCGCTGCGTGTTGGCTCGGCACGCGACGTTTTGTGGGCACGCATCGCGCCCGACCTGCGTCTTCAGCTCACGTGCTGAGCTCCGGGTCCACACGCTGCGCGTTCTCGCTGCGCCTCGGGGCAGCCAACCGGGGGTGGTGAAGGAAGGGGCACCTGTCGCGCCCTACAGGGGCACCCTGGGGCCCAGATTTGGAACAAAAAGGCGCACGTCTCTCCGCCTGCCCACTGATCGCCCCACACTGCTGGGGCCCAGATTTGGAACGAAAGGCGCACGTCTCTCCGCCTGCCCACGGATCGCCCCACACTGACCAACGCCCAAGACACTCGGGGATCCCCAGGCAGCTGGCGCCTCGGAGAGATCGAGGCGGCGGGTATGTCGTCACTTGATTTGGGGCGTTCCAACAAGGCCCTTCTCGAGTGATCGAAGGGGCCCGGTGGAAGGCGGCAGAAGGTCGGCCCCAAGGGATGCCAAACTTCTCGAGCCCAGTGGTTCCGCAACTGGCCATCAGCTTGACCCCTGGAGGCCACCTGGGTCACCACCAGGGGGCGCGCAGGCGGTCGCGCTTCGTGCGCTGCGGCCCAGGCTGGGGAGTTGCTCTTCTCCACGGCGACCTCGCGACGGCGCGAAGGTGACCGCGCGTCGCGCATCGCGGGGGCGCGAAGATGACCTAGGTTTCGGGCCCCCCAGCGCTCAGAAAGCGGCCCCTATGGAAGGGGGCAGAGCAGTCCCAGGGGCCCACGCGCCGAGCACGTCGAGATGCCGGGTGTCTGGGGAGGCAGGAGCGTCGAGCCTGCAGCAGGACTGGGGCCCGAGTTCCCTACGTCCCTGCCTCCTCTTCGTCGTCGTCATCATCCTCTTCCTCGTCCTCGCCCACTTCGCCGCAGTCGTCACCGCTGTCGTCGTTGTCGTCCTCCTCCTCCTGCTCCTGCTCCTGCTCCTCCTCCTCCTCCTCCTCCTCCTCCTCCTCCTCCTCCTCCTCCTCCTCCTCCTCCTCCTCCCCCTCCTCCTCCTCCTCCTCCTCCTCCTCCTCCTCCTCCTCCCCCTGCTCCCTTTCCCTCTCCCTCCCGCTCCGTTTGCTCTTCCTTTCTTTTCTTCCTGCCATGTGTATGGTTGTCCTCTCCCCAACACTTTTACCACGACGGCTCTTCGTGCCAGTTCTGCTATGACGATCGATGCTATTCGAGTGTGTTCTGGTGTGTTCTATCATATCAGATGGCATGGTAGCCAAACCGCGCTGCGCGCGGCAGAACTGGGCAGCACGCAGGCTGCCTGGCACTGGGCCAGCCGATGGCGACCCGAGAAGGAGTGCTCCGAGGGCCACGGGCGCAGCGACCGGAGCGGGAGGGCGGGAGCGCGCGCGGCCCGTCGGCAGCGAGCGCGGGGCCGCACGGTGACGCCCTCGGAACTCGTCCTCGAAGGTCTTCGCGGCGGAGGTCTCGACGACGGACTTGGCTGTCCTCCTCCTCCTCCTCCTGCTCCTCCTCCTCCTCCTGCTCCTCCTCCTCCTCCTCCTCCTCCTCCTGCCCGCCTTCGCCGACGGCCTTCCGCCGAGCAGCTCGCAGCTCACAGCTCTTATTGCCAGTTTCTTAGCGGTTTTAGTCTTCACCGCGCTCGGGGCGGCGCCGTGCGACTGCAGCTGGGCGGACTGAGCGCAGGCGCTCCTTGGAGCGCCTGGCAGTGCTTGCTAGGAGTTGCTGTCTGGAGCGCCCGAAGGTACTTGTCAAGACGCTTCGACGGTACCTGCCCTCTTGCCAAGACAACTGCCCGACAATCCCTGCCAAGACGCTGCTGCGAACATGCGTGCAAGACGCCTGCCCGAGAATACCTGCTCCTCTGTGGCGCGCCCGAAGGCGCGGAAGCGCGATGCTCCGCGGATGGACGGGGGCCGTGCCTCGGCTTCGAAATGCTTCGGTGGACGCCCAGAGCGTGCAGCTCTTTGCCGTGCCCCTGGCCGGGGTCCTGTGGCCGCACTGCGGGCTAAGGCGTCGTTGCCGTCTGCAGCGGCGCCGTCCGCCCAGAGACCCCGTGGAGCTCGTGGGGGCATGTTGCGGGCCTGGGGGCCGTTCGGGGGCCCTCCCTGGGTCCTTCTGGGGCCTCGGGGGGCAGGTTTTGGCTGGACTGGAAGCCCCACTTGTGGGTTGCAGTCCTTTCTCCTCCCCTTTTTCCTCCTCCGTTCGGTTCGGCCGCAGTGGTGCCGGCGAAGGCATGTGGGCGGGGGGCGCTTGTTTGAAATGAACCCGCAAGCATTAGTTTTCCCCCTCATGGCTGTTCGTTGATTGCCGCCGGGGTGACGCGTGTTACCCCCGTTCCCCGTAACGTCTGTGCCCCAGTCGTGTGAGGATGCCCTGGATGTCCCCAGTGAAACCGTTAGCTCCCCCATTATTCGTGTAGGCTCGTTTTAAACATTGCAGTTTCCACTTGCATTTTTTGCGCTTCCCAGTCATTACAACATCGATTGCGCACACGTCCACTGGCCACTCCTTTCTCTTTCTCTCCGTGCCACTCCTGGAGGTCGCCGTTCTCTTTCTCTCCGTGTCACTAAGCGCGTGCCCGTCCTTCTCCGGGCCGGCCCTCGCTTCGCCCTGGCAGGTGCTGCTCGCCGAGTCCGAGCAGCTGCACCACCCGGTGGCGGACACCACCGCGGCCATGCTCCTGGCGCTGCAGAAGGAGAAGGGCTACTCCGTCATCGCCGGGGTCTCGGGCTCCTTCTGCAAGGAGATGGCCCTAGACTCTGGACGCCCGAGATGGGCACGGAAAGAATGGGTACAATGTCCAACAGCAGTTCCTGTCCACTCTGAACAGGACTCGCTGTGCGCGCCGCCGCGGCCTGTGTCCATTCGAGACAAGGCCGCTTGCCCAGCAGCGGCCGCTGTTGGTTTGGGACAACATTTGCTGCTGGGCACTGTACCCATTCTTTCCGCACCCATTTCGGGCGTCCAAACAGACGGAACACGCAGACGGCACAAACAGACTCCTTCGAAGATTGGCGCGGATTTTTTGGGTCGGCGATGGGCCGCGCCTCTGGCGCCGCCCCTGGCGCGCTCCGCACGCCAGGGGAGCGTGGGACGTCGCCGACCCAAGTCCGCGCGAACCTACGACAGTTTGTGCTCATGCAGTCGGCAGGTATTCTAAGCCCCATGCCTCCCATCCTCCCTTCCTTCTTGCTGCTGCTGCTCCTTCTCCTCCTCTTCCTCCTCCTCTTTGGCCTCGAACCTTCTTCTCCTCCTTGTCCTTCCCCAATCGCCTCTCCCCTCCCCTCCTCCACTGCCCTCCCCACCCCCCCTCCTGGATGGGGAGGACAGCGCGAGAGGGGATGACAGTCAGCGTAGAGGGGACAGGATGAGGAGGAGATGCGAGAGGACAGGGGAGGATGGGAAAGGGAAAAACGAAGAGAGCAGATGATGAGGAGGAAGTGTGGAGGAACTTGGGAACGCGGGACCCAGACAAAGTCCGACAATATCACAGCGCATGCGCCCTGAACTCGCGAGGAAGCGAAGGATGATGATGAGGAGGAGGAGGAGGAGGAGGAGGAGGAGGAAAAGGAGGAGGAAAAGGAGGAGGAGGAGGAGAAGGAGAGGAGGAGGAGGGAGGAGGAGGAGGAGGTGGTGGAGGGGGGGATGGTGGTGGTAGAGGTGGTGGAGGAGGGGATGTGGAGGAGGTGGAGGTGGTGGAGGATGTGGAGGAGGAGGTGGAGCAGGAGGAGCAGGAGGAGCAGGAGGAGCAGGAAGAGATGGGGCAGATGGGCAAGGTATTTTGTTTTTTTCCCAACCCTCCTTGGTTGGGTATTCGTTTTGAATAGAGCAGTGTGGTCGCGTCCTTCCTCCTCCCGCCTCCCGCCTCTTTCCTGCCTCTTTCTGTCTTGCCTGCGGGGGGCTGCGATCTGTGAAACTGCCGCCATTTTCGAGGCCTGCTGGGGGGCCCAGCACAGTGAGGGCGACGCGCGGACCCAAATTAGACCTCGCCATTCCTGGGGGGCTGCGATCTGTGAACCTGTCGCCACTTTCGAGGCCTGCTGGGGGGCTCAGCATAGAGGGTAATCGCGGCAGATTCAAATTAGACCTCGCCATCCCTGGGGGGGGGGGAGCTGCGATCTGTGAAACTGTCGCCACTTTCGAGGCCTGCTGGGGGGTCCAGCATAGAGGGTAATCGCGGCAGATCCAAATTAGACCTCGCCCTCCCTGGGGGGCTGCGATCTGTGAAACTGTCGCCACTTTCGAGGCCTGCTGGGGGGTCCAGCATAGAGGGTAATCGCGGCAGATTCAAATTAGACCTCGCCATCCCTGGGGGGCTGCGATCTGCGAAACTGTCGCCATTTTCGAGGCCTGCTGGGGGGCCCAGCACAGTGAGGGCCACGCGCGGATTCAAATTAGACCTCGCCATCCCTGGGGGGCTGCGATCTGCGAAACTGTCGCCATTTTCGAGGCTTGCTGGGGGGCCCAGCACAGTGAGGGCCACGCGCGGATTCAAATTAGACCTCGCCATCCCTGGGGGGCTGCGATCTGCGAAACTGTCGCCATTTTCGAGGCCTGCTGGGGGGCCCAGCACAGTGAGGGCCACGCGCGGATTCAAATTAGACCTCGCCATCCCTGGGGGGCTGCGATCTGCGAAACTGTCGCCATTTTCGAGGCCGGCTGGGGGCCCAGCACAGTGAGGGCCACGCGCGGATTCAAATTAGACCTCGCCATCCCTGGGGGGCTGCGATCTGCGAAACTGTCGCCATTTTCGAGGCCTGCTGGGGGGCCCAGCACAGTGAGGGCCACGCGCGGATTCAAATTAGACCTCGCCATCCCTGGGGGGCTGCGATCTGCGAAACTGTCGCCATTTTCGAGGCCTGCTGGGGGGCCCAGCACAGTGAGGGCCACGCGCAGATTCAAATTAGACCTCGCCATCCCTGGGGGGCTGCGATCTGCGAAACTGTCGCCATTTTCGAGGCCTGCTGGGGGGCCCAGCACAGTGAGGGCCACGCGCGGATTCAAATTAGACCTCGCCATCCCTGGGGGGCTGCGATCTGCGAAACTGCCGCCATTTTCGAGGCCTGCTGGGGGGCCCAGCACAGTGAGGGCCACGGGCAGATTCAAATGAGACCTCGCCATCCCTGCGGGGCTGCGATCTGTGAACCTGTCGCCACTTTCGAGGCCTGCTGTGATCCCCGTTTTCGAAGTGGCTAGGAGTGCTCAGGAATTGTAAATCATCAGCTTTATCAAGCCCTTTTCCTGTAGCCAGTGTCCTGCGAGTCTCCCGAATTCCGTCTGCAGACATATGTAACCCTCGCTCCGTCATCGCCCCCTTATAAAGTATCCTAAACTATTTGCGCCCCGCTTTTGCGCAGGGGTTGGGTACGTCGCCTGGGTATTTTTTTTTGGGGGGGGGGGATCGAAGGATGAGCAGCATGAGTACTAAGACTATTGATGCGAGTAATAATAAGAAGATGATGAATATTCAGAGGAACGCGAACTATACTAATATAGTAATACTACTAATAATAATAATAATGTTTTTCTAATACTGCTAACACTAGTAGTAGCAATACGACTGCCAGGAATACGAATCGCAAAACCACGAATAATTGAAAGTACGAGTGCTACGAAAAAGAAGACTACTACGCAGAAGAAATATTCGACTACAATTACTAATACTAACAAGGCTAATGATGTTCCTGCGAATGTTAACAACATCAAAACCCTGTATGTAGCCATTTCTGTGAAACATCCGATTGATAAACATACATCGGTGACTGTAGTGCTAGCACTACTCTTACAAGTCATGTCAGCATTGTTTATCCGATTCGTGCTAATAATAATGAACGTAAGTATGCGAATCTTAGTCTCAATCGTAAGACTTCTAGTCAAAATACCACTGACACGAATCAACATAGTATTACTTCTACTAGTGTTAACAACCAATAGTATCATTATCGCTACTAGTACCCATACAAAGACGACTGCGAATTCTGATCATGCTAATGTTGGTACTACTATTATGCTATTTGTATACGAAAACAGTACTACTATTAGTAATAGCAATACTGATCGCAGCACTCGTAATACTAACAGGGGGAGGAGGAGGCGGAGGGACGCCTAACGGATCAGATGGAGGAGGAGGTGGACGACGAGGAAAGAGGGGCAAGAGGCATAATAGGAGCAAGAGGAGGAAGTTGAGGAGGAGGGAAGATAATGAGAAGGGGGGACATCGAGGCGAGGGAATACAATGATGATGAGGAGGATGGAAGACGAGGAGGAGGAAGAGGAGGAAGAGAAGAGAAGACGAGGTGGAGGAAGGAGGAGGAAGAAGAGGATGGACGAGCAAGCATAACAATTCGAGGAGGAGCAGGAGGATGAGGAGAGAAGACATGAGGATCAGGAGCAGGAGGTGGGGGACGAGGAGGAAGAGGATGAGGAGTGAATGGGAGGAGGATGATACTGATAATGATGATGATGGGGAGGCGGGCGGACGAGAAGGGGGGAAGACGAGGAGGAGGAGGCGGAGGATGATAAGGGGGAGGAGGCGGAACAACGATGGCAAGAAGGAGAAGGAGGAGGAGGAGGATGAGGAGGATGAGGAAGATGAGGAAGATGAGGAAGATGAGGAAGATGAGGAAGATGAGGAAGATGAGGAAGATGAGGAAGATGATGATGATGATGATGATGATGATGATGATGATGATGATGATGATGATGATGATGATGATGATGATGATGATGATGATGCGTATGATGATGATGATGATGATGATGATGATGATGATGATGATGATGATGATGATGATGATGATGCGTATGGTGATGCGCTGCGGATGCTATGATGATGCTGATGAGGATGAGGATGAGGATGAGGATTGAGGATGTGATGCTGAGTTGATGTTGATGATGAGCGACTGAGGGTGTGTGATGATGCTGATGATGACGATGATGATTATGATGATGCTGAATAGGATGCTGATGCTGATGCTTATGCTGATGATGCTGATGCTGCTGCTGATGATGATGATGAGGATGAGGATGAGGATGATGATGATGATGATGATGATGCTGTTGATGATGATGATGATGTTTGTGGTGATGATGATGATGATGATGATGATGATGATGATGATGATGATGATGATGATGATGATGATGATGATGATGATGATGATGATGATGATG